CCGTCCCGAGGGCCACGTGGGCAGTCACTGGCCCGACCTGAGGCCGGGTCGGACACAGGGAGCCGGAGTGGAAGCGGCGGCCGGGCCGGGTCGGGGCCGCAGCCCTGTGCCTCGTGCGTGTGGGGGCACACGGGCATCCTGGTGGGGGGCTGGGGGTGGCAGCCAGGGCGGCCCCTCCCGCCACACAGCGAACCGCGCCCGCGCCCACGGCACCAGCCAGGAGGTTCCAGCGGGTGGGGTGCAGGCACGTGGGAGCGGCCCTGGCCGCCTTCCCGGGCGTGAGCGTGCAGAGGGCTCCTGCTGGCCAGGCCTCTCGCCGGCTCTCGCTGGCCTCCTTCGTGCCCGGGCGGGGGGCACCCCGCGCCAGCGCAGACCCAGGCTCAGGGTGCTGGGCTCAGGACGCTGCGGGGCGGCCCGCGCCCTGTGCGTGCCCAGCGGGCATGGCTTTCTGCGCGCCCCATGGCTGCTCCCGGAATCGCTGGCCTCTTGCTGGGAGACTCCGGCCTCGGGACCGGGAGCAGCGACGGGGACAGAAGCCCCAGCCCCGCGGTCCGGCTGGCGGACGGCTGCGGTGGGCGTCGGGAGCGCCCCAAGGCCCCCGAGGGCACACCCCCCGCAGGGCACAGTCCTGCAGCCCGGGCAGTGGCCCTCCGCCCCTCGGCCGGCCTTCTGGGCCCTCGCGGTCGGCAGGGCTGCCGCTGCCTTGGCCTCTCCACAGCTCAGCTCGCCCTGGGCCCCCACCCCCGGTTCCGTAGGGGGATGGAGAGCGCGAAGGGGGGAGAGGGAGGGGACACGGAGGGGTGGGGGGCAGGGAGGGGGCGCGGGGCTGTTGGCACACCTGCCGCCCCTGCTCTGTGGGGCGTGTCCGCTGGACGCTGGTGGACATCACAGGGGAAGCCTCGGGGAAGCTTGCTCCTGGGGCGGGCTGCAGTTTGGGGCCCCCCAGGTCAGGCCAAGGCCTTCCTCGGGGTGTGAGGGGCCTAGGAGGTTGGTCACGGACAAGCACAGGACCTGGGAGGGCCGTGGGAGGGCGTGACCCGGATGGGGACGCCCCTCGGGTCTCGGGGCGTGGCGCAGGAGCACGGGGGGCTGCACACACCTCCCCTCTGCCCCAAAGGGGTCAGCGGCCCTAGCACCTGCTCCTGGCAGCAAGGGGCCAGGCCTGGCGGCGAGACCGGGAAGATGCGGCCCCTGGCCCCCCGGGCCCACGGTAGAGGCTTCTGGGGACCCAGGGTGACAGGTCGGCCCCAGCTGCCCGGCTTCCCGTCCACACCGTGCACCTCTCTCCCAGCGGGCCCCGAACAGCAGCCCCCCACTGGGCGTGGTCAGCGGCGCCCAGTGCCCCAGGGGGGCCCTGCCCCTGAGCATTGCTGCGGGGTGCTAGGTAGCAGGGAGCCGGGTCTGCCGCCGGGCAACAGCAGCAGCTTTTGGTGACGGGCACCCGGGGCCCACACCCTCAGTGCGAGTGGGGGGTAGGCCCACGCCCCCACAGAGC